GAACAATTAAACTTTTACAATAACAAAAAGTACGTCATAGCTGTAAAATACTTTTGCTAATAATGACAACAAGAATCGCAGAATTGCGAAAACATTAAGATATAGAGAGAGAAATTGGGTGATTTCGATTAATAATTTATCAATTAAAGATTAAGTGATTTTAATCAAGCAAAATAGTGCTGATGAACTTACAGTTGAGGATCTTGAATGCAAATCCAACTATGACGACAAAATCAAAGTTGATTTTCAATATTATTATTCTGCAATTTCTTGTTCTTCAGCTAAAGAACTTCTAGAGAGAGAAATAATGGCAGAGAGTTGCCATAGTGTAAACTGAAGTTGCATTGTAAGCGCAACAGAGTGATACACACACACACACACACACGTAGAGATAGTGAGAGAGTATTGTTTATGACAGAAGTCTGTAACTGAAGAGAAGAAATGGATCGCACGTGCGAATACACTCATGTCGAATAGGTCTAAGGCGAGGGAAGAAGGGCAACCTGAACGAATTGAAAATGGAAAATTTTATGGATTTTGATAGTCTAACAGTAATTTAACAGTCCTACTAAGATTGTACTACTAAAACCGTACAAATTACATTCCCCAGGGGCTCGTGCCAATAAAAAAAAGTGTGCCCCTGTTGTGAAGGGATTGTCAATCGTCATATAAAAGAGTTGTAGTTCTAATACTTTCCAAAATTTATAGTACTCTTGAAATATGAAGTACTTCAAAAATTTCTCGCTTGGTGATGCTCCTTAAAAATCACCCCTTTCTACTAATCTAAATAGACAAATATTTTCAATTTAAAGAAAACGGTATTTACATAACTAGTTGGGCTTTAAGTCCTTACTTAAAACTAGAGGAAAGATTTAACTTTGAAATCTACCTTATTTATTGATTAGCAAAACAAATTATAAAAAAAGTTATAAAATATGTCGACCATACTTTCAAAATAGCAAGCATGGAAGGGGAGAGAGAATTTTAAATGAGCTAATGTTAAGTCGGAGAAAATGATTTATAGTTGTTAACTATTACATTTTGAAATTGCTACATAAAGGTTCAATTCAAAATACCTCTTCACAATCAATTTCAAAAACTTGATTCCGATGGATAAATCCTTCAATACGTTCAAATTCTCCAGTATGGACGCCAAGAATTAAGATCTCGTTCTCGTGTCACCAAAATGCCAAATCTAAAAAATACGAGAGTTGTTAGGATAATAGAATGGAACTATCACTATGTAAAATAGATCTAGATTAACATTCTTTCTTATTCTTGTGCAACTAGGATCTTGAAAATCAAGTTTTATTCCCAATAAAACTCCTTTTGTGATTCGATCAAAATTGACTAACTTGATCAACTCGAATTTTGGTTTCATGATTTATTTATTATTATTATTTTTTGTTTTTACCGGATTTTACATTTAGTTTTTCCGACAACTTTGAACGAGATAAAATTTTTATCAAAGAGGGCCATACGGCATATTTAGAGCTATTTATGTCAATTTCCAGCTATTATCGTCAAGCTTTGACTAGTTAAGATTGACCCAAATTCTAAGTCCAAACTACAATTTGCCGAGTTTTGGGCTTTGACAACTCGACCCAATGTGGCCCGTTATAAAAAGTACCCATATCTATCTTTTTTTTTTATGTGGAAATTACACAAAATCATACATTAAAAATCCAATATTCTAAAATCAGATGGCAAGTTTAACAATTCAAAAATCAGAAATTTTATTTTAATTAATATTTTTGTTAACCAAAATTCCAAACCCTAATAAAATTAAATTGATATACCCACTTCCATCCCAACCCCCAAATCAATTCCAATGCCTGTTCTTCACTCTCTCTCTCTCTCTCCCCCCCTCCCTCAAGATGCCGCCGCCCGTCATCGTGAAGATGCCACCATCGGAACAACACGACGTTGAGGACCAGAGTAGCAACCGACAAGATAAAATCATCACTGAGTGTCGATGATCTGAGCCGCGACGCTCAATTCATGCGGCACTGCCCGCTTCTCCGAAGACTTTCATTCCCTCGATGGTGTACTGTAGGTGGTGGAGGTCGCGCGTTTGTGTGTTGATTTGGGTTGTGGTGGGGGTGATGGTGCTAGTGATGGTCACAAGTGGTTTTGAGGTAGTTTGTGGAGGTGGTTTGGTTGTGATGGTGGTGGTCAGTGGTGTCGGGTGTTTGGTTGTGGCAATGGTGGTCAGTGGTGCCGTTCATTTTTTTTCCCAAAGTTTTTGCTGTGTTGATGGTGTTGCAGTGGAGTAGTTCGTTGCAGTGGTGTGGTGGCTTTGTTGGATCCAATGATGGGAGAGGTAACGTTGGATATGGTGGTGTTGTGGTTCTGATGGTGGCGGTGATGGTGGACATTGTGGGTGAGAAGGTGGCGATGGTTATGGTAATATGTTGGTGGCGTGGGTCTATTGAGGTGGTGGTGGATATGGCACAATGATTTGTTGATTTGAGGTGGTGATGTTGTCGTCAAGAGATGGCGGAGGTAGTAGTTATGACAGCGACGATAGCGGTGGAGGTGGGCTGTCGCAAGAAGTGGCTAGGCGGTGGTCACATGTGTTGTGACCAACTAATAAGTTGAATGTGGCCAATAATTCGTTAATTTGTAATAAATAAATAATAGGTGACCTAAAAATTGTGTTTGTGACTTATAATTTATTGAGTTGTGATCGAAAAATTAATCTGTGACCTATAAATTTTTTGATTCGTGACTGAAAAATAATATGTGACCTATAAATTTTTTAATTTGTGACCGAAAAATAAGTTGTGACCAATAATATGATAAGTCGTGACTAAAAATTACTCCGTGACTAATTATTTTTTGATTTGTGACTAATAAACAAACTGTGACTTACAAAATTTTTGAATTGTGATCATAAAAAAATTTGTAACATAAAATTTTTGATTTGTGACCAAAAAATAACAAGTAACTAATTATATTGTTAATTTGTGACCAAATTGTATAGATTCGTGACCTAAATATATTTAATTAATAAAATAATTAACTAACTAATTAAATCATAAATAAATTTTAATAAAAATCTGATTTTTGAAGTTTGAAACTTATTTTCTTAATTTTGAAATATATGATACTTAAATTCTTACTTATGAAATTTTCCCTTTTTTTATTACCAGAAAATATACAGCCTATTTGGGAGTGATTTTTTTGCCCAAAAAATTGATTTTTAATCGTTATTTCACTATTTCAATTGTCATATTTGACTTATTCTCTCACAGGTGGACCTCACTTTTCTCTTAACGGTAAAAAAATTAATTCTCAAAATCACTCCCAAACAGGCTCATAGTACTATAAACTTTAGGATATAGTATAGGTTCCACTTTTCTTTTGAAACACACAAGATTTTGGGGGTTGGCCAAATCGGGTGACAAATACCTTCAGTTGGGTTGGCTCAGTTTTATGCCCATATTTGGATCAGTTTAGGTTGAAATTCAAGAAATCAAAATCTTCGATTTGATTCAGGGTCGAGCTGAATATCGAACCAACATGTATGTGCCCACTCCTACAATTAAGGTTCTAATATTTTAACAAATACGTTTTCAGAAGCCTATAAAAAATTTTCATTTTTAAATAAATTAAAATGGTTTAGACTAGCTCAGCAGAACCAGCTGAAGCATGTGTGGTTTGATTGGTTTTGTTTTATACCCATATTCGAGTTAGTTTGTATCGGAATTCAAGAAATCGAAATGTTTCGTTTAGTTATGGGACAAGTCAAAACTGAACTAGCCCATATCATATCCACTCCTACATATGATTGGAAAATTCTGGTTCTGTTTTATACCCATATTCGAGTTAGTTTGTATCGGAATTTAAGAAATCGAAATGTTTGGTTCAGTTATGGGACAAGTCAAAACTGAACTAGCCCATATCATATCCACTCCTACATATGATTGGAAAATTCAGCCTTCATTAATTTATTAGTCACTCGTATATCATTAAAAACACTTCTCGTCCGACCGATATATCCTAAACATACCTTGTATTTTTGAAAAAATATAAAGTAAATGAATCACTCGACTTACCAAAACTTGTTACAAAGTTGTTAACTGGAAATACTAACCAACATTCCCATAATTCCATCCAGTCAAAGGAAAGAAAAAATTGCTTATTATTAATGCGAAACTATGATCCAAAAGGGTAACATTCCATTCCTACCAAAAACAATTGTTGCCTTATCCTTGAAGGATTAAGACATGCAAAAATCGTTTCCTGTATATAGCTTGAAGCACCACCTCTAGATTTTTCCACATAAATAGAAAACCAAATTTCTTTGAGATCGAGGTGAATTTAGAATACTTGAAGTTATCGACCGTATTATTCAAATATAGGTACGTTATTTATATTTCTTAATTTTCTCTACATTATTGGAATTTTGTATTCTTGCATGCGTACAAAGTTTATGTTTCATTCGTCCTGTTTACATATATTCTGGTATACGTTGTTTCTATGTTCTCGTAATTGATTTATTGAAAGAAGAAATCTGTTCGTAAAATTATTCTTCGTTTGTTTTGCAATTATTGTGTTCAAGAATCAAGGTTTCTTGAGTGTGTATATATATATAACCTCGTTTTGGTCAACTTGGTGATCTTAAGATTTCTGTATTATTGATGAATTTACTAATGGCTGTATTTTTTATTTTCATTTTTCAGATTCTGCATTTAACTCTGGGAAACTATCGAAAGCCAATCAAGATCGGATGACAAGGTGCTGCACACGTAAAAATATGCGCAAAAACGCGAAGTGCATTGTCTCAACAATTGGAACTATCCCGACAGATCTTGCCAGCGATATTATGGCTCGAGTAGCAGCGAATTCATTAACTGATATCGCTAACATTAAGTTAAGGTGCGTAGAATTAATAGGCAATCTTGATTTAAATTTACATAAAAACTTCGCAAAACGATTTGCAGTAAATACGTAATTGATTATATATTTTTTATATTTCTTTATAGCTGCAAAGTATTAAAAGAAATAGCTGAAGATCCTCACGTATATCAAAATGCATCTCTCAAGAAATTTCCAGTCGGGCATTGGTGGCCTCCAAGTAAAGAGGAAAAGACATTTTTGAATAAGTGCTGGGAATATGGAAATCCAGAATTACTATACAGGAGAGGAGTGGTATATATATATATATATATATATATATATATATATATATATATATACTGTAAAGTTGGGACACATTGGAGCACTTCACGTTATCTGTATCATTTTGCTGTTGAGCGACGGTGAATGCAAACGGAGGGGAATAGCTATACTAAGCAAAATGAAGAAATCGAGGGAGTTAAGAAGAAAGTTGAAGGATTATCGGAATAATCTAACCCATATGCTGTGCACAACAATTTGGGTAAACAGGTCTCTTCATATAAATCATCTACCGATATGCTGTACCCAGACACATCCCGCGAAGAAACATGCTTGGCCTCCAATGACAATAGAAGAAGAAGATGTTTCGTGTGATGCTTGTATAGGCGATGCAGAACTTGCTTTTATATTTGACGGGCTTCCCGGCATCAAATAATCTTGTTAAGATTAGTAATACCTGTACTGTTGAAATATTATCCAATTTTTGTATCTTTCTTGCTAAGTTTGATTATAACAATTTCTCTTCGTCACTTTTCCATCAAGCAAAAACTAATACTCTCACAGAAATGAACAGAGTGACCAAACTGTGATAAAGTTCGAGTCCAATAACCAACTGGATAAAAGAAAATGTAATATAGTGACCAGTGTAATTAACCCAAGGCAAAATAAACAAACACCAACACAAGAACAAAGTACCAGACAATAAAGTGTACAAACAAAATGATTTGTAAAATATCAGTTTGTACAACGAGATTAGCTTGGCCATTAGTTTTTCTGCAACATTAACTTTTTAAATACATAATTCAGAAGGGATGGTTTTGCAGCTGGGACTCAAAAATAGTCTGATGCTATTAAGACCAGTGAATAAAAGTACGTAAAACTACACCAAGGATCCTATACCATCGGACAGAGGGGGAATGTGCACAGAGATTTCATTTTATATAGATAGATTTTCATAACCCCAAGCAAGAAATTAGTCATTACCTAATGAAGATATTTACGCCCACCCAGGTTTTGAGGATGGTGCTTTCAAATTTACATAATGAACTGCTGCATTGGAATCCCCATTTATTTTACAGATCTTCAGAGAAGAGCCATTATGGATGCTGCTAAGATTGCTGGTTTGCACTATCTTCGTCTTATCCGTGAGACTATTACTGCATTAGCTTATGGTATTTTTAAGACCGATCTACCTGAGAATGATCCACTGAATGTTGATTTTATCAATGTTTGGCATGCCGGTATGCAAGTTTGTATTGCTGCATTCAAGAAAGACCAGCTGAAGTTATTAGTCCATTCATTTGACAGGTCTCTCTGTGGTAGAGACTTTGATGAAGTTCTTTTCAATCACTTTGCTGTAAATTTCAAGGATGAGTATATGATTGATGTCTTTCAGAATGCCAGAGCATGACTAGACTTATTGCTGGGTGTGAACAGCTGAAGAAAGTTCTCAGTGTAAATCCCAAGGCACCTTTGAATATTGAGTGCTTAATGGACGAGAAGTATGTCAGAATTTTCATTAAGAGAGATGAATTTGAGCAGATCAGTGTTCCAATTTGGAACGTGTGAAGAAACCATTGGAAAAGGCTCTAGCAGAAGCTGGAGTGACTTTAGAGAATATTCGCGCAGTTGAGGTTGTTGGTTCAGGCTCTCGAGTTCCTGCTATCATCAAGATCTTGACTGAATTCTTTGGAAAGGAAGCCAGTCGTACAATGAACACAAGTGAGTGTGTTGCCAAAGGCTCTGCTTTAGTATGTTTCATTCTTGGTCCCACGATTAAAGTACGAGAATTCCAGGTGCCGGTTCTTCTTTTTAGTTGATAGTTCTTCCTATAGTTTCACTTGATGCCATGGGGTTTGAATTTGGATGAAAAAAACACAAATTTTATATGGGATCTGACTGCAGTATAAGTCAGTTTTATTCTCTAGCTTCTTATTCTGTTGAGCCAAATGCTATATACCTTTTATTTATATATTTATTTTTCCGTTCTGTTTTATTTGCATGCTGAACAAATCTTACAAGCTGATTCTTTAGGTAAAAAGCATAGGAAATCTCACATCTCTGTTGTTCTTAGTCATAGTTTAATTTAGCATACCCCTATCCAAAAAAATAAAAAAGGGTTAGATTTAGCAAACCATGATTTCCTCTGGAAATAAATAAATTTTAGTTCTGTAATACGTGAACAATAATCCGTGATAGTGCTTGGTACAATTGAAGAAGGGTGATGCTCAGGGGCGGACCCACATGGTGTCATGTGGGGTCAAATGACCCCACAGTTTTCTGGAATTTTTTTTTTTTTGTGCTGAAAACTTAATTTTCTGTTTTTTTGTGTGCTGAAAACTTAATTTTCTGCCCTAAAAAGTCCAAATTCTAAATCTATATCCATATCACATGGTCCATATCCATTATTTAGTCCATAAATATATCATATAATCCAACGATTTCTTTACAAAGTGCACATATCGAACATGAACAGCAAACAACTGATTTTTCCTTTTTTTTTTCATGAAACGTTGTTCCAAAAAAAAAATTTTGACCCCACAGTTCAAATGGTCTGGGTCTGCCCCTGGTGATGCTAGGTTAATGACTTAGAGTTAGCAATTTTACTGCATTGCGATTAATTATTGGTATATTGAAATATCACTTGGAAATGAGGAGGTTAAACTATCTGTTTTGAGCAAGACTATACTGGCAGTTCTGGCATTTTGTTGCATTAGAGGAAGAAAGGCTAGCCATGGATTTCTTCGTTCTTTTTTCCTGATTTATTGCAATGGGCTTTTCTTAGTTTTCCTTCTTTTTTTGAGTATTTGTTTTCTTGCATGCTTAGTTGGATATAGGATGAGTAATTATGTTTATGAACATTTGCCTCCTATTCTATTACGAATGTACCACTTATTGGAAATAAAATACTCCATGAGATCCGTAATAAGATTTGCTCGACCTTCTGATTTGAAGGTTAACGAGAGCTTCCCATTCCCCATTGCTTTGTCATGGAAATGATCCGCTGCAGATACTCAAAATAAAGCATAGATAATCAGCAGAGCACCGTCGTGTACCCCAAGGATAATCCAATACCTAGTGTTAAAGCTCTGACATTCTACGAACTTTTGTGGTTGATGTTCAATATTCTAATGTTACTGAGTTGAAGGCACTAGCAAAGATCAGCACTTGCAAGGTAATCTATTTGTGTCACTGAATATATATTGTCGCTAGTTGGAAAATCTTTTTATTTCTGATATTTTCTAATCGGAGGCACAGATTGGATCCTTCCAATCCACAAAGGGTGAATAGAAAAAATTAAAGGTCAAAGTACGCCTAAATCTGCATGGTATTATTTTGCTCGAGTCAGCAATTATAAGTCCTCTGTGTAGAAATCTTTTTAGTGGTCACTCAGTTAAAAAAAAAATTATGAACTATAACGGTCCTGTTGGAAATTTAAATCAGCTTTTGGAAGAGGAGGAGGTGGAAGTTCTGGTTGTAAAAGAGTCAGCAAAGGAACCAGCCAAGATGGAAACAGACGAGGCTTCTCTAGATCCTGCTCCATCAAGTACTACTGAAACTAACATCAGCATGCAAGATGCTAAAGGCTCTGTGGAGTTATTGGTTCAATTGCCATTTCTTTTAGTCTTCTATCGCAAATGCTCAATTCTTTCTCCTCCTTTTTTGCCTATTTTTGGGAACATATGAGAAGATAAAATAAAGCAGCTAGTCTGTCAAAGTGGGTCCCTCTGCTTTTGGATTAATATTTTTGAGGTTGATGCGGAATATAATACAGATATTTCATGTGTCATGTGTTTGTTTGTTTTTCCTTTCTTAGAAAGGATGCTCCGATGTATTTCCCATTTTTTGGGAACTTGTGTCTCCTATTTTTATACTCCTCATGTGAGAGGGGAAGACGGGAGGGCTTCAATGGGCTCTGCTGCCGTGTGAGATTTAATTATTTTGTTGTCTCTCTGTCAAAAAAGAACATATTTGTAATCGAAATCTTTATTTTCCTGCAAGTTTTGTTCTCGCCTAGGAATTTGCATTGCTTATGCCCATAGGTAGACACTCCGAAGAAAAAGGTTAAGAAAACAAGTGTCCCTGTGTCAGAACTGGTGTATGGAGGAATGGCTACTATCGATTTGCAAAAATCCATGGAGATGGAAGTTGAGATAGCTTTGCCAGATCGAGTTATAGCGAAGCTAGAGGAGCTCCAGAAGGTAGGTGTCAGTGCCATGTTATATTTGTTTAAGCTTGGGAGATGGATGTATTGACTTGGATTCTTTATCTGCGGCAAGGTTATCCAATTGAAGAGCGATACAAGGAGCACATGGAGAGAGGATCTATGATCAATCACTTTGTTTATTGTGTTAACAGTTATAGAGAAGAAGCAATATCATATGACCCCAAATTTGATCATATTTAATTGGCAGAGAAGCAAAAGGTGAACATATCTTAAGTTATTTCCTCTATATAATTTGTTACCCATACTGTCCCTGCCCCCTCATTTACATACAGAAACCAAATTTGTCTGCACAAGTACATAGACATATTGAATTCTAAATGAGTTGTGAATTTATCGTCAGGTTTGAGCGATAGTGTGGATGCTGAAGCTTGGTTGAGAGAGAATCCAGCATCGGGATTCACTTCCAAAATATGCAACACCAAGGAAAAAAACTGAAGTTCGACAGGTACTATCTCTTAAATGGGTAGGAATTATGAATTGGTTTCCAGTCTGATTTATGATTTTGATCCTAATGCTTTGCTTCGGTCTTTGGTTCTGCAAATTTACACGAACGACAATTGTTTGCATATTTTCGTTTGCAAGAGTTAAGGTTGCCTGATATATTTTACTATTATTTAGGATCACAATAATTGAGATGCTAAAGAAAAAGGCTTCCCTTTTGAATGAGGGAAAATTTCAGGTCCCAGCCTATTGTCCATGTAAGAAGTTGGTTTCGGACTTTAATTACAGTTGTACAACGGGCCATCGACTATAAAAAATGTTACATCTCTGTTAAATCATCACATGCTAGTCATGCAATAGTAATGATTTAGCGGAGGTCTAGACGGTCAATAAGAACTGATTGTGCAACTATAATGAAATGTACCAAACCAACACGCTACTCAGGCAATAGGTTGGAGCCCCAATAGGGAAGTTTTCCCTCTAAATGGAGCTGTATTGACGATTTCAGTTTCTTTTCAAGCATAAATCTTGTCCGATAATTACAAAATCGATGCCAGTGAAGCCTACTACTCCAGAGACACCCTCACTAGTGAAACCTACTACTCCAGAAACACCCTCGCCAATCCCTCTCAAGGAGGCGAATCACAATGTCAAGGTGCAGAGAACCCGAATTCAAGTCCCAACCAAAACTCAGTTGCAACTGAGACTACTGGATCCGGAAATGAAGTACCATCAACTGCAACAGAGCCCATGGAAAGAGATTAGTC